TATATTATACACTGTATATATAAGCTGGAAGCCATTCTAACAGGCTAACGTAAAGTTATATATATATATTATACACTGTATATATAAGCTGGAAGCCATTCTAACAGGCTAACGTAAAGTCAGGTTCTTCAAATATCCAGATATAAAGTTGCTGTATTAATGTAGTTTCAGGTCATACAAAAACTGTTTTCTAACGTTGACTTTATTTTTTTTCCATCTATCTAAATGCTCCAGATGTTTGATGGATAAAGGGTTCGTGAGAATCGGGAAGTGGTTCTTCAAGCCACAAGACTTGGAAGGAAAAACTTTGGGCAACAGGTAAGAATTTACGCACCTTAGTTAGTTGCTGTAATAGAACTTCTGCGGGATGCTTCGAGTCATGTCAGGACTCGTGATGCTCTAGGAAATGTGTATGAAATTGCGACACAGTGAGTCAGCAGGAAGGGCTTTCTTGTGATCCTGACAGTTTGAAGTCGTCGTGATGTTTTAGCAGCTGGCCGGTGGTGTGAGTCTGTTGAAAACCCAGAGCATGTGAGTGGTGTCCAGAGGTGAAGAGAGCTGATAAAATGTGATGTGAGTGAGAGGAAGCATGTGCGTGTGTGTGTGTGTCTGGGTTTGTTTTTGATGACATTTGGGGTCAGTTTTAAGACAAAACACCTACATTTGGGGACCTAAGTCGAGTCCCCGTTTGGTTTAAATGCCATTGGTGGGTTGGGGGTTGGGTTTAGGACCAATGTGTGAATTGAGTTTAGGTTAGTTTTAGGGTCAGGTAGGTACGTGTGAGGTTAGCCTAAGGTTTTGTGGTCAGGGTTAGGCTGTAGAAATGTAATGGAAGTCAATGGAATGTCCTCAAATGTATAGCTGGGCGAACCTGTGTGTATATGTGTGTGTGTACATGTCATGCTGTGTAACAGGGTGTTGTCAGTGTGGGAGACAGACAGAGAGATGCAGTAAAAAGAGGGGTGGGTGTGATGACAGTTCAACTTGTTGCTTCAAACACATAAATTCCTTTAACTGCCCACTTTTCTGAGTTATGATGATGCAACTTTCCTCATATCTGTAAAACATCATTGTTTTATTGCTGAAAGTTCAGGTCACTGTGTCATTCTACATATTTTAGACAAGATAAGACAAAATATTTATTGTCATTGTCACTTTGGGAAGAAACAACAGAATTGTATGTGCATCTGACTCAGTGTAGGGCATGGTAGAATAAAAAAATAAATAAAAGTCTTGTAGTGAAGTACAAAAATGTTGCACTAGTTACATATAAGTACAAGTAAATTAACAAAAGGAATTGTTTTTTTTAATGCACTCAATAAACATACAAATTATGCTGATTGACATGAGATACTATATTTGTTACAGTTTCATGAGAACCTGCATCCTGAAGTTAAATGTATTTGTTACATTTTTGGGGGTGGGGGCATTATAGTAAGAAGCATTCTTATTGTGAGTTAATGGCCATGTTTGCTTTAGGGTTTGTTCAGGCTTTCATTGCTCTGGAAAACAGAATGGCAAAAAAAATAAATAAACGCTGTAAAGATGCATAGCTGTCTTACTTTGTTGTTCAAATCAGTGCAAATGAAGCGATGCACAGCTCAAGTAGGCTGCTGACATGACGTGCTAAAGCAAACCTCGGTTTAGCTGCTGAGAGGAAGTTGAAGCCTGACACATGTAGAGGCTGTGTTTGTCACTTGTTTTGCATTTATCAGCGGGCTTATTATATGATGGTGACATCTTTGTGTGTGGAAGTGTTCTCACAGTCGTGTACCGCAGTATAAGGAGAAGGATCAAAGGAAACACCTGAATAAAGCAGAACAACACAGTCTGACTCTTCGATTAGCTGTAATGAAAAAGCTGCATTTTATTTGGTTTGTATAAAAATGAAGAACAACTTTTAGGAGGCATGATTTTATCCCTTCGATAAAGTTTTATAGACACAGTTGAGCACAGAATTGGTTCTGGTACCCCATGTGAATTAGCTTTGTGCAAAATAAAAAATAAAATAAAACTGCGTTGGATCGTACATATTATTCCCCTTCATGTGAGAATGAAGAGGAGTTTCAGTGCACTGTACTGCCTCTAAATATATAGTTCAGCTTCTGCAGCGATGCAGTCGCTATAACAAACCTGAGTGCTGAAGCGAGAGCCCCGGCGCTGACGCAGCTCTTGCTGGAGAGATTATATCTCCCTGTTGGCTCAGAGCAGCTGGGGATCCCCCTGAAGCAGCTGGAGGAAGTTGCAGCAGACAGAACAGGGCTTCAGAGCTCCCACAGTTTGTAGCATTATCCTAAAAGTGGACTAAAATGTGAGCGGGTGGTTTGTACACCATGTTAGAACCCCTCCAGAAATCATCTCAGTGTAGTGTTTTAGTGTTTTCTGAAATCTAATACAATGTAAGAAAGTTTGAAAAAAGACGTTTAAAAGTATTTCTAGCATTTTCTAAAATGGTTGCAGAAATATTGTTAGAGCTGCTGCTTTTATTGCCGTCACATGTTCTCCAATTCTTTCAAAAGTCACCAAATGCTCTTTATGTCTGGACACTGTGTTAATCGCCTGAAATTTCTTACATAACTCTGCACACCAGAGGTGGACTGGGGAGAATAAGGGGCTCGGGTAGTTCCTGGCTTCATCGGAACGAGATCTGCAGCTCTCGCTGGAGCGGTTCGCGGCCGAGTGCGAAGCGGCCGGGATGAAGCTCAGTGCCTCCAAATCCGAGGCCATGGTCTTGAGCCGGAAAAGGGCAGAGTGCCTTCTCCGGGTCAGGGGGGTCGCCCTGTCTCAAGTGGAGGAGTTTAAGTATCTGGGGATCTTGTTCACGAATGGGGGAAGAATCTATGGTCATGAGCTTTGGGTCATGACCGAAAGAACGAGGTCCCGGATACAAGCGGCCGAAATGGGTTTCCTCCGCAGGGTTGCTGGGCTCTCCCTTAGAG